AGTAAACACTGGTTAGGAATGCAGTAGGCAAGGGAAAGGTCATCGTGACTTTACAGGCCTCTAAAACTGGGGATGGGGAGAGATTGAAGGGGAAGGGACCCTAAATCCCTCAGTTTTTGCATTCAGAGCTCAAACAAACCCAACCCCACTCTCTGAGAAGTGGGAGGAGCTTATCTTTAATGTGATAATAGAGGAATGTAAATGAACACTGGTTAGGAATGCAGTAGGCAAGGGAAAGGTCATCGTGACTTTACAGGCCTCTAAAACTGGGGATGGGGAGAGATTGAAGGGGAAGGGACCCTAAATCCCTCAGTTTTTGCATTCAGAGCTCAAACAAACCCAACCCCACTCTCTGAGAAGTGGGAGGAGCTTATCTTTAATGTGATAATAGAGGAATGTAAATGTGGAAAAAACAGGAGGGGATTTAACCCGAAATGTCAAGAAAAGGGAGGAGAGTATAATGCAATACACATACACTGGGCATATCGGCACTGCAACCCATGGTACAGAGAGGAAGGACTTCAAACCACTGTCCATTCCATTCCTGCAGGAATGATCAAGCAGAGGAGCTTATCTTTAATGTGATAATAGAGGAATGTAAATGTGGAAAAAACAGGAGGGGATTTAACCCGAAATGTCAAGAAAAGGGAGGAGAGTATAATGCAATACACATACACTGGGCATATCGGCACTGCAACCCATGGTACAGAGAGGAAGGACTTCAAACCACTGTCCATTCCATTCCTGCAGGAATGATCAAGCAGTATCCATGGGGTTGATGCTACCCAGGGAATTGACTTGCGTGGCCCAGAGCTCCCTCTTTGGGCAAAGGAATGTGTGGACTTGCCAAAAAAAAAAAAAACGAAATGTAATTTATAAACACCAGTAATTAATTTTTTGTAAGGATGAATCAAATGTACATTCTGAAATCATTTTCTCTGTAAATGGTTGGATTTCATTTCACCCTTAAAGGGATGCTTAAAAAGGAGGAATAAAAATAATAAAAATTACAAAGTATGAAAGGTAACCAAATGGTGTTTGTGCCTGTCTTTATTGCAGCCCACGTGGCTAGGACTCCATGGAAAAAAGGTGAAGAGGGAGCTGTCTCTGACTGCGGCACATCTCTTCCATTCCTGAACAGCCATGCACCACCTGGGGGCTTTAACATCAGATTTTTTGAAGGCAGACAAAAATATTCTACCCAGTAACTTGTAGGAGCAACTGCTCCAGCTCAGCCAACAGAGGGTGCTCATGCACCCTGCTGAGCAAGTCTGATATATTTCACCCAGCACATACACCTGTGAGGTGTTGACAATCACATGCCTGCTTTCTGGCAAGCTTGAGCCAAGATTTTTGTCACATCTATAATAGTATTCCTGGCCAGCAGTGTCCTTTTAAACAATAGATGTTGTGTAGCAATAGCTCATGGCCCCATAAATGTCTATAAGGCTAGAATCCCCATAAATCTTAATCGGGCCTTGCAGCCCTGGAGAGGACAGCCGGATAGGTCTGATACATTTCCTTCACCAAAGGCAGGGGGTTCCCAATCCCTGTTCACTCTGAAAAAGTGGCTTCTCTAGATCCTCCCATTGTGGGAACTGCTACACATCTAAGGGCTGAGACATGCTCAGAGCTAATGTATTCCAACCAGTAAGTAGCAGTGGTAATGCAACACATGGCAGCCACTCCATCCCCAGAGCATGGACACACCCACCCCCTCCAGTTCCATTATCAGAGGGTCCTTTTGGGGCATTCTGTATGCCCCCCTCCTCCAAAAAAATTGTGTACATAGGATTAAAAGTCTGTAAATGGTATTGGTCAAAATAACATTACCTAAGCATGCCAGTTTCAGTTACTTTGGTGATTTATTTCAAAATATGTCAGCAAGTAAGTTTGCAATTATTCAGTCACAGGCAAAAATTCCCTCAAGAGTAGCGTTAAGGAAACCCTTATGGCAACCCAGTTCCTGTTTCTTTAGCTCCTCCCCCCAGAGCCCAGCCTCAACCCCTACCTTGCCCAGACACCCTCCCTCAGAGATCCAGAGGTAGAAACAGTCTGATGCTCTGTCACAAGCTTTCATGATGTTTCCTGTGTGCCACCTGCTCCTTCCCTCAAGGCATGCTGGGAACTGCAGTGCTAGGAACCCTGGAGCACCCACTGGCAGTGTCTGCCATGTTTGAGCTGGGATGGACTCTGTCAAATCCAGCACTCACTACTGGTAGCTAGCAGCCCATTTCTGTGGGAGAAAGGAAATTCTGCATTGCACAGTGGTGCCCAGTTCCCCCAGGAGTAACCTACTAAGCATCAAGCAGCTCCACCCTATGGCAGTGTTGCCAGCTGTCTTGCATTTCCTGTGAGCAACAGACTTTCAGCCAGGTCAGGAACCAGCCTGGAAATGAGAGAGGCTTCAACCCTCTTGTGAACTTCTGCTGTGCCAGGTGAGTACCCCTCTCATTGTCTGCCTGCTCCACCTGCACTTCCTGAGATACCACACTCAAAGCTTTCTCCCCCTTCCTTCAGTCACACGTCCTGCAGCAACCCCTGCCGGTGGCCAGCCTGGGCTGGCATGAACAGGAACTGCTGCCAGAGCAGCCTCTGCCTGTGGCAAGCTTCAACCTGCCACAGGCAGAGTTTGCTTTGCAGCAGCCTCCCCTATCCCCCTTCCCCTCCCCCCCAACCTCTATCAGAGGCAGCCGCGGGAGGAAGGAAGGGAAGGGCAGGTGTCACCTCAGAGATGGTGCTAGGGAAACTAGCTTCAAGCTGGTTCCTCCCAGCACCGGTTCCTGTTCTCCCCTCCCCCGCTGCCTCTCCTACAGAAGCAGCAAGATGGGGTGGGGAGCAAGTAGTCAGATACTCCACTCAGTTACCCAATACGCTTATGCTTATTGGGTAGTCAAGTAGTTGACTACAGGGCATCCCTGCTTTAAGTCGCCCCGGTATGTACATCCATTTTGCACTGAAGTCATTGACACTTGTAGGAACTGATGCATTATAAGTCCTCCCATTCCCCGCTCTTAAATCATGCAAAAATCACCCCCAATTTGTGCAAATGTAAGTCAGCCATGGGGAAGAAATTCCCCGCTTGAAGTTGTTTTGCTATAAGTCCAAGTTTTTTGGAAGTTATCTTGGACTTAAAGTGATGACGGCCTATACAGGCAGTCCCCGGGTTACGTACAAGATAGGGACTGTAGGTTTGTTCTTAAGTTGAATTTGTATGTAAGTCGGAACTGGTACATATTGTAGGGGAAACTCTAGCCAAACATTTCTCCAGAGCTCAGTTTTATTCTCCCACACCTCACTTCCCTCAGTCCTTTATTCTCAAGCTGAGGTGTCTGCTGAGAAAAGCTGCTCCGCGTCTCCCTGGTCTGCTGGGGGGGGCGCTAGCTTTGCGTCTCCCTGGTCTGCTGGGGGGAAGCAGCTAGTGCGGGGTTGCCTCACCCCGTTTGTAAGTAGGGATCCGATGTAAGTCGGATCCATGTAACCCGGGGACTGCCTGTACTCACCTACATCCATATCCCAGGCCTGGGCGAGTGGGAGTGAAGGAGGCTGAACTGATGGTGGGGATAGGAGGTGAGTGGGGGCTGGGTTGGCTGAATGGATGGAGGAGCTGGACAGAGGCAGGAGTGGAAGAGATGGACAAAACTGATGAGGGGGTAGAACTGATGAGTGGACTCTGGGGGACAGGACTGATTTGGAGGGTGGTGGGCAGAATTAATTGCTGGATGGAGATGGGCAGATATGGCGAATAGAGCTCCTGCATCTAGGATTAGTCACTCTCTCTAACACACTAGGAAGAGTGGGCGCCACACATGTGCAAGGAATGGGCAGGGAGACTTCAGAAACTGGAAGACCAACAAAGCCACGCTATAAGCTTTGTTTAAAAGTCTCCTCATTTTGGGGCCGCTGGGGTCTGGACTCACGATTTAAAAAAAAAATCTGTGACTGGCACTACTGTAACACTGACACTTATCAGACGACCCCACAGAAGACATTGATTTAGATAGAAATACAATATTCACGGAAGCCCATTGGAATCCATCAGCCCACCTGCCAAATCAGCTAGCCGAAAAATGGATAGTGCTGAGTATTGGGCACATACCTGGCTGTTGCTGACAATGAAAAAAGCAGGGGCTATAGCAGGATGAGTATAAGGGTCACTGCATGTGGTCCAGAATCCTAAGATGTGGGCCCATATAGCGCCTAGGCTGTTGAAGATCTTACCAGTAGCAAATATTCAAACAAGAACTTTAGAGGCTAACGATGAGAAAGGTTCCAGTGCTTAACAACAGGACAGGGTGATCTGACCCTTGAGAAAGGGACAGGTGACCACCTCTACTAGCCACAGAAAAGAAGCCTGGTCCAAATTTTCATTGTGAAGCACAGGGTGTGCTGTAATGGGCTTGCCCTGTGCCTGAGCCTTGGAAAGTGGCATGATTCTGGTGGAAGTTGGCAAATTCTTC